AGAAAAATGGCTGCCTCGCCTCTAGCAGCCATTTACCTCCTCTGCAAGATTTTTGTAGATGATTTGCCTGCATATAGTTCCTTCTCCCTACCTGCTCCGTTTAACTAGGTAACTCCTACTTGCTTTTCACTTCTCAGCTAAAACAGCTGTTTCTCAAGAAACTGACTCCTCAGAATTCACCAGTTAAACACTATAATAGGATCATTTACTGCTAACACATGGCACCTATCACAGTTATACCTGCATCTTCATTACTATGATTTGATTAATGACAGTCTTCCTCATTACGTCATTAGACTTAAATCTCCATGAGGGCAGGTATTTTACCTTTTTTATTTGATTTTTTAGAAATTCCTCTTCAACACTGTATCTCCACTACTTAGCCAAGGGCTGACCATATGGTAAACGCCCAATAAATATTAGTTAATAAATGAATAGATGAATGAACTCGTGAAAAAATTATAAACTACAACACTTTTTATTCATGATGTTTTAAGCATTATTACTGTTCTATCCACAAGCTATGTATTAAAGAAAAGGATTTATTTAATGTTTCTATTGATGGTGTCACAAATGGAAGGAGTGGATGTCATTTTTAATATTTGCAAATTACTTTAATTGCATGATCTAAAACTTTAAATAAGGGCACTTTGCTCTACTAACACATCCAATTAACTAACTCATCTTCCCATAAATGTAAATAACACATTAGTGATGTATTTTTTCAGAGTAACTACAAGAAGGAAAATATTTACTATAGTCCTAAAGGGTTTAGTTGAATCCCTGAATATAATTTACCCGTACTTTGTGGAAAGGATGTGAAGAAAACTTGGGATTAAGAATGGACTTAGTGCACAAAGCCATTGTTCAAAGTTTTCCCTATAAATGATTAGAATAAAAAGTATATACATTAATATGCTAAGGGAAAGACTATCCCTACAAACGAAAACAAAAATGCTTATCTAATAGAGATTAAGAGTTTGGTTTTTTCCCTTATATTCAGAAATATAATATATGCTTTTATTTCTCCTTGGATCTTTTATCAATGTATACTTTAAAACCCAGGATTTTTACATCCTGCTTTCCACTTCCAAATCTTTACTAAAGAAACAATTGCGATTTTTAAAATCCATGAATCATAATTAAACCTTCTATTAATAAAACAGAGTGCCACACTGTTCCATGTTGCTGTCAGTTGCCATTGAGTTGGCTGCTATTCATAGTCACCTTATATATAACAAAACAACATTACTCGGTCCTGCACCAGCTTCATGATTATTGATATGTCTGAGTCCATTGTTTGGGCTATTGTGTCAGTCCATCTCATCGAGGAGTTCCCTCATTTACGCCAATCCTCTACCAAATATGAAGTACCTTTCTAGTGACTGGTCTTTCTTGATGACGTGTTCGAAGTAAATGGGCCGATGTCTCGCCATCCTCTCTTCTAAGGAGCATTCTGGCTGTATTTCTTCTAAGACTGATTTATTCATTCTTCTGGCAGTCCA